AAAAAAAAAAAAAAGTGTAGACACACAAAGGCAGAATTCTGAAACACTATCTTAAACAGATTTTATATACAGAAATGGGTGTAAATAACATTGGAAGTCAGTATCAAAAGATATCTGGTATCCTTTCAGTTCAAGGACAAGGTGGTATAGACACACTTTTCCCTGATCCTCCCCTCTAACTACACCATTAAGAAAAAAATAATCATTATTACTGAAAGGGTAACACTGCTAGTAAGCCATCTATCACAGAAACATCCCTACATATAAAAGTGTGCTGGCCCCAGTGTGTCAGGCAATAAGCAAACTTGGTAACTTGTTTTTTATGAGCTTGTTTGCAGAACTGTAAAAATAAGGAACAAACAGAAAAGGTCATGGAGCCCCCAACCCCTAAGCATCTGTCAGACCACATTCCATGAAACCAAACTAAGACCAGCCTAACAGACAACAGCTCTGGAAAACCACCACCTTATGTTACATTTTGCTATTGCTACTACTCTGGAAAGCAGACTGGCTTCTGTTATCAATCATTTTGCAATTACTTTTCTGCTCTTTAAAATTCCAAAAAAAGCCCAAGCAACTTATCATCAGGGCTGGCCTTCTTTCTTTCTTTCTTTCTTTTTTGAGACAGAGTCTTAAGCTGTTCCCATGGGTAGAGTGTCATGCTGTCACAGCTCACAGCAACCTCAAGCTCTTGGTCTTAAGTGATTCTCTTGCCTCAGCCTCCCAAGTGGCTAGGACTATAGGCACCTGCCACAAGGCCTGGCTATGTTGTTGTAGTTGTCGTTGTTTGGCAGGCCCCGGATGGATTTGAACCCTCCAGCTCTGGTTATATGACGGGCGCCCTACCTGCTGAGCTGCAGGCGCCAAGCCCTTACTTCTTTCTTTCATACTAAGCCCTTGCCTCCCTTAGAAAGTGACACAAAATACATGAAATAAACTTTTTGCTTCAAAACTTATCTTAATCTGAGTTGAGAATTCTTTCTTAGCCCACAGTAGGAAGACCCCTAACAATTCTAAAGCCCCCAAACGTTGAGGACCACCCGAGATGAGAAAAGAAATCATTAACATCCTCTCCCTTGAACATCACCTTGAACATCAATCCAGACCAGAACCACCAATCATGTTTCTTTGGTAAATAAACTAAGCTACTTAATCCCCAACCACCCCCAAATAATAATTAACAGGATACTAGAAATAATCCAATGAATAATCATAAAATAACTGATAGTTACTTATGTAAAGAAAAAGGCAAACTGAAGACCTCATAACTAATGGGCAAACAGCACAGTGAGTGACCTAAGTTTTCTCCTTACTCTCCATATATCCTGTACTGGATGCCAAGGAAGCCAGAGACTCCGCACTTGCCCTAAACCTGTAGCAGTAGTGGCTAACTCTCACCTCCATCACTGCAGAATCAGAGGACCCACTCCATTGCAGTGGCAATGGCCACAGCCCAACCTCCCACTCAGCAGGGATGGAAATGAAGACCCAGTGGAGCCAGAAGAATAAAGCCAACTGGTATATCATGGCAAGAGTTCTTTTTTTTCTTTTGAGATAGAGCCTCAAGCTGTCCCCCTGGGTAGAGTGCTGTGGCATCACAGATCACAGCAACCTCCAACTCCTGGGCTTAAGCAATTCTCTTGCCTCAGCCTCCCAAGTAGCTGGGACTACAGGCATCCACCACAATGCCCAGCTATTTTTTGGTTGCAGCCATCATTATTGTTTGGTCAGCCTGGGCTGGATTCAAACCTGCCAGCTCAGGGGTATGTGGCTGATCCCTTAGCTGCTTGGGCCACAGGTGCTGAGCAGAGTTTTTTGTTTTTGTTTTTTTTTGAGACAAGAGTCTCACTTTGTCACCTTCAGTAGAGTGCTCTTCACAGCTCACAGCAACCTCAAACTCTTGGACTCAACCGATTCTCTTGCCTCAGCCTCCCATGTAGTGGGGACTACAGGCACCTGACACTATGCCTGGCTAGTTTTAGAGACTCTTTTAGAGGTCTCGCTTTGGCTCAGGCTGGTCCCAAACCTGTGAGCTCAGGCAATCCACCCGCCTCAGCCTCCCAGAGTGCTAGGATTACAGGTGTGAGCCACCAAGTGCAGCCTCAGCAAGAATTCTTAAAGGTCAATTTCAGGGTAAATACAGCACACAAGAGGAAGTCAGGATCTACATGTGAAACCCAAACAGGTAGAGCCCTCTGTGTGACTGAATACTGTGACCTTCTGACAAAACCTAATTAGAGTAAGTGCCTACTGAATAGAGTCCTAGGCCCAATCTCACAGAACCCTGAGTGTGACTGAATAATGTGATCTTTTGAGCCTTCTAAGGCACTAACACAGGATTGCCCAGCAAAACCTTTGGCTTTCTCTATAGAGCATGCTTTTCTGGCAGCGAACCTCCTAGAGACTTCTACCATCAGGGTAGTGAAAAATTTCCCAAATCATCAAGTCCTGGCTCTTTCTTACTAACCAATTCCTCCTCCAATCCATCTCTTTCTTCTCACATTATACGATAAGAAGCAAGAAGAAAGTAAGCTGAATGTTCCACACTTTGCTCTTAAATCTCATCAGCCTGAAAAAATCCAAATTCATTGTTGTAAGTACTGTTTTCCACACAAACTATAGGACACAATTTGGCTAAGCTTCCTACCCCTAAAAGACAATAATTTCTTTTCCTTCAGTTTCTAGTACCATGTTTCCCATTTTTCTTTTGAGTTCTTATCAGCAGCGTTCTGAGTCTGTACTTCTACCAGTGGTCTGTTTATGAAGATTTAAGCATTCTCTAAACCTACATAAGCTTTCTCTACTGTGCTCCTCATTTCTTTCTATGCCCTCACTGGCAATCATTAACTTGTATGTTTTCGTTTGTTTTTAGAGACAGAGTCTGACTTTATTACCCTGGTAGTGCTGTGGCCTCCAGTTCTTGGGCTTAGGCGATTCTCTTGCCTCAGTCTCCCGAGTAGCTGGGACTACAGGTGCCTGCCACAATGCCTGGCTATTTTTTTGTTGTAGTTTGGCTAGAGCCGGGTTCGAACTCACCACCCTTGGCATATGGGGCCGGTGCCCTACTCACTGAGCCACAGGCACTGCCCAACTTGTATGTTTTTACTAAAAGTCTACTCAAGGGGCTCGGTGCCCATAGCACAGTGGTTATGGCGCCAGCCACATACACCTAGGCTGGCAGGTTCTAGCCGGGCCCAGGCCTGCTAAACAACTGCAACAACAACAAAAAAATAGCCAGTCATTGTGGTGGGCACCTGTAGTCGCAGCTACTTGGGAGACTGAGGCAAGAGGCTCACTTGAACCCAAGAGTTTGAGGTTGCTGTGAGCTATGACAATACGGCACTCTATGGTACTCTACTGAGGGCAACGAAGAGAGACTTGTCTCAAAAAAAGAAAAAAAAAGGTCACTGGTCTCGACCAATCACTTATCTTTTTACTCTCTCTACTGGAAAGAATACAAGTGGCATTTACTACCTAAGGGTGTCCTCCCAACATAGATTCATGGGAACATTCAAAAGCTTACTATCCTTTAAGCTTTCTGTCCTGGCTTAGAAAAATGTTCATTTCTTAAATTCAAGTACTTATAATGTTAGACTAGGTTATTAAAATTCCTTTTATTTATACCTACCTCACAGCTTGTATTACTGGATCGTATGTTTGGTTGTAAACAATTCCTTTGAGATAACCTTACTGTTTTAATACGTCTTTGAAGTTTTGCTATTTTTGCCTAGAAGAGAAAAACAAATAAATATTAAATCAGACTACCAAATAATATATCCTATAGAAATGAAGGGAAAATTATCTGCCAAAGTAGTTTGTGAGACATAGGCATTTACACAAATAAATGAGAAATTCTCATATGAGAAAAAGTTTTAAACCACATTTTATGCTTGTATGATATTTAAGAAGGGAAGAGAAGAAGCTCAAACTTTTAATTAGTCCCTAATGAAATTAATGTTGGTACAAATGCCCATCAGCAAGAAAAGTAAAACAAAACAAAAAAATCCAAAAATGCCTGAAACAGATTGTGTGAGCTCTCATAAAGATATACTTAGAATGAAGAGAAACTGCCTATGGATTAAGTCTTCCCTGATATAGAATGCCTAGAAGTTGTACAAGTATTTCTCAACAGCAAATATTGCTAAGAAGTAATAAACTCTATTATCTATGGTGTACTCTCATGTTAGGCTCGTGGGCAGGAATCGGATTTCGGTCTTCATTGAATGTTCTCCTTTCCTAGTATGAAAGATACCACCAAATTTTATTTTTTAAAAGGGCTAAAAAAAAAAAATCAAATGAAATTAGACACTTACGAAGAGTTCATCAGCTATTGCTTCATGTTTATTCATGCACAGTGTCTTCCCAATGCGTTCCTTCAATTCTTTCAGTTTATTATCAAATAGTTTGTAATTTATACTACCGATCTCCTGTCGAATCAAATGTCTGACCTAGAATTTTAAAATAAAAACCAAAACACCCCATGTTTCAAATTTAAAAGCCATTTTCTACTTTTTCAAAATAGCTTTGTTCTTTTCTGGATTTACTATAACCAATAAAGCATACTTTATTTGTATTTGTATGTTTATATTTACATTGCTATACTTGTAAGTTTTATAAAACTTGAATATTAAACTCAATAGAACATGTCCAATACTTAAATATTGGATGTTAGACATGTTAAGAAATTAAATTTATTCACAATAGTGCCAGCTGAATTCCATAATATACATTGTAGGAATAATTTAAAGACTATATCCCATTTATATTTTTTAAAAACCTTAACTGAAAGTTACTATTCCACAAAAAGGAATTCTACTGATCTGAAAAGCAGAGCCTGATGAAAATGGTTTGTTGGTCTGTCTGCAATAGATACAGAACAAATTACACAAGTTTGAGCCTTGACTTTACCATTAACAAGTTATATGACCTTTCAGAAGTCACATTTCTTTTTTTTTTTCAGTTGTATTTCTTTATCTTAGCAATGAATAATCTGAGAATAAAATTAAGAAACAATTCCATTTATAACAGCATCAGAAAGACCAGAATAGGAATAAATTTAACAAAAGAAGTGCAAGACACAAGTACCCTGAAAATTATGACATATTATAGAAGTCACATTTCTAAGCTTCACTTTCTTTGTCCAGAAATGGGTAGATAATACAATACATGTCTATTGAACAAGTGGTCCCTAAGGATTTTTATAAGAACACAGTAAGGTAATATGTGAAAAGACCTCCATAAAATAACAAAAAGAACTGAATTGATACTAGGGAAATAAATATGCAAGATAATCACCATTAGTTGCATAATGTTTTGAAGAGGATGGCTTTCTTTTTTTCTTTTCTTTTTTTTGGACACAAAAGTCTCACTTTGTCACCCTTGATAGAGTGCCAAGGTGTCACAGCTCACAGAGACCTCAAATTCTTGGGCTCAAGCTATTCTCTTGCCTCAACCTCCTGAGTAGCTGGGACTACAGGCACCCACAACGCCCAGTTATTTTTAGAGACGAGATCTCATTCTTGCTTAGGCTGGTCTCAAACCTGTGAGCTCAGGGAATCTACCTGCCTCAGCCTCTAGAGGGTGGCTTTCTTATTTGCTAAAATTGGAAGATACCAGGAACTAACAATATCTGGCATAATGCATGCTATTCTAACAGACTGTAGTAGCTAGTTATCTGGCTGTTTTCTTCAAAATAGACTGGCCCATTTTGGGGGAGAATAATTAACCTCGATGCCCACTGACATGAATAGCTCTGTCAGGCCATCTATTCAGAAACATTCACTGTAGTTTTCCTTGAAGTACATATTCTCCCATAAGCAACTTTCACAACAGAATACGTAGTGAAATAATGACACCTGTCATAATACATTTTAGGTATTTAATAGTAATATTTACATCTCCCCTTCATTACCTTGTTCCACGGTGCTCAAAATTGGAACACATAGTTCCTATGTTAAAACTCTTTCATAATGATATCACTTGACTAATTATGTATTCTTTAATTTTATTTGATTATTTCCAAGGTTTTTCCTTATGTTTCTAATTATTCTCAAAGTTGCCTACTTGACCTCTTCTGTACTGCTTCACTAACATTTTTTCCATGGTTTCACAACATTATTAGACATGATTGTCATTGTTTTTTATTTATTAATTTTTTTATACAGTTTTTGGCCAGGACTGGGTTTGAACCCGCCACCTCTGGCATATGGGGCCGGCGCCCTACTGCCTTCAGCCACAGGCACCGTCCATGATTGTCACTGTTAACTTTCACAACTTTTAAATATCTGGTCAAGAAAATAAGTAAATAAATTTATTTATGTAAATTTATTATGTAAATAAACAGTCAGAAACACTAACTACTTTTACCTACAGCCATTACCTATTACCCATGTGTGGGTTTTATGGATCATTATATGCTTCTCAGTTCACTGGCTCGGGTTAATATATGAAGTCCGTACCCACATGAATCTTGGACAAACATGTCTACGTATCTTAAACATGGAGACACTGTTTTGTACAGTGCTTCTCAAACTTCCCTAGTGAGGATGAACCACATGGGATACTTGTTAAAATCACAAATTCCTAGATTCCATTCTGGACCTACTAATCAATCTTTAGGAAAGAGGCCTAGAAAGTTGTATAATTAACAGGCACTATAAATGATTCTTATCAGGTATGTCTGAGAAAACAGGAGCTTAAGACAACGGTCTTAAATGATTAGCTCAAGAAACCACAATTTAAGTAAGTACTTCTGGTGATTCAGAGAGAGGCAGATCTTAAACTTACCAAGGGTTAGAAGATACTGTTTCTCAGTTAGTGGTAATACTCCTTATACAGAAGTAAGACAAAGACCAGGCATGGTGGCTCATGCCTGTAATCTTAGCACTTTGTGAGAATGAGACAGGCTGATTGCTTGAGCTCGGGAATTTGAGACCAGTCTAAGAAAAGAACAGAACTCCTGTCTCTACTAAAAATATAAAAACTAGCCCACTGTTTGTGGCAGGCACCTGTAGTACTAGCTCCTTGGAAAACTGAGGCAAGAGGATGGCTTGAGCACAAGAGTTTGAGGTTGCTGTGTGCTATGATGATGCCACAGAATTTAACCCAGGAGTGACAGAGTAGTCTGTCTCAAAAAAAAAAAAAGAAGACACAATGACTTCTGTTCAACACATAAATATGTTTCTCCAATGGTACTGTGCCCAGCATTGTAGAGTTGGATGGAAGTCCTCATTCCAATTTGCAGATCACAACCAAACTGGACTAAAATTTAAAGGAGACAAACTTACACATCCCCTATCTGTCCCAACTTTGTAAGACAGTGGGTAGGATGAATAACTTGGACTTCAGGGGAATAATCCTTTCACTTCAGTAATTTAACTGGCATTTACTCCAAGATCCTAATAATATCTTAACAGCTAAGAGATAATAGCTCTAAGACTCTCGGGAGGGAAGACTAATTTCAGAATGGAGGATCCTATCTCACTCCTATTCAAATAAGGTAATTATACAGATGTAGTTTATAGAGAGAACTGTGTAGACAGAAGCAAGTGAGGAAAACCTAGCTATTTACAGATCAGTTCCATATCAGAAATAAGTTCCATATTAGAACTTATTTCCAGATGTGGCTACTAATCAAAAGGACCAAGACACAGCTGGAATCCCTAACCTTTTTCTTAGATAACATGGTCCTCAGGCTAGATCCATGCTTACCAAAATACTACCACCCCTTCCCTGGCAGCAACAGAACATTTACATAGTATTTATTGTGCCCTTTGGTTTTGTGGAAGAAAACCAAGAGATCGAAAGGGGAAAACTGTTGACTCACCTTTTAAGCTAATTCTGCATGAATCTTTCAAAGATTTCATTTTACACACATTCATAGGATATGTCACTATGTAACTATAGTGGTCTATTTGAGAAAACAGTAGATTTCTGGCTTGGCACCTGTAGCACAGTGGTTATGGTGCCAGCCATGTACACCAAGGTTGGCAGGTTAAAAGCCGGACCTGGCCAACTAAACAACAAAAAATAGCTTGGTGTTCTGGCAAGTGCTTGTAGTCCCAGGTACTGGGAGGCTGAGGCAAAAGAATTGCTTAAGGCCAGGAGTTTGAGGTTGCTCTGAGCTATGCCACCACGGCACTCTACCGAGGGCAACATACTGAGATTCTGTCTCAAAAAAACAAAAACAAACAAAAACAGACAGTAGATTTCTGTTTCTGAAACAGTGTGCAGGATAATTTAGACTAGGAAATTTTGGTCCATTACAGCTGAGACATTTACCTACCACATAATGACTTTTAATGATGGCATTGCAGTGGTAGTGATAGTAAAACATGATTATCAAAACTGGTCCTGAAAAAAAAAAAAAAAAACTGGTCCTGATCACAGCCATTCTACTAGAACTGAAGTTCATTACATTTCAACTCAGAATTGATCAGACATGTATGGAAACTCTAAGAAAAGAGGTGAAAATGAAGGCAAGAGTTGTATTTAGTGAAGCTGTGAAGCAGTAGTTCTCAACCTTGGTAATGCCGTGACCCTTTAATACAGTTCCTCCTGTTGTGGTGACCCCCAACCATAAAATTATTTTCTTTGCTACTTCATGAGTGTAATTTTGCTACTGTTATGAATCACAATGTAAACATCTGATATGCAGGATGTATTTTCATTGGTTGCAACCCATAGGTTGAGAACCGCCGCTAAAGCAAAATGTCAAATAATACACCTCATCTGTGTAACTACGGAAATTAGGGCAAGTAAGTTTGAATGCAGCAAGACTTTGCAATGGACTGTTGGGTTGTCTAAATCTGTAAGTAGTGGTCAACTGTGAAGAGGTGCACAAACAGATACATCTCCAGATCAAAGAACTCCATGCCTAGTACAGAAGAGATCAGGTTGTTGAGCAAAGCCAAAGAAGGAAGTCACGCAGTATCTGACTCAGAGATACCTGAGAATAATATTGACTAAAAGCTCATTTCTCAAACAGGACTCTACCTCCAGCTGATTCTCTAGGTTACTCTGTATGAGATCATGTTCAAGAAACTAGAGATATTTTGGTAATTTAAATAATTATCTTTCCCTAATCAGTCAGCGAATTTGGTTTTCACATGCCAGCTTTGCATCAAATGAAAGTCATCTATACTATGTATTTATGGAGATCAATTTTTACCTTTTTTTTACTAGTCAAAATAAGTTTTTGAAGCACATGTCAAAGCCCCGATATTTTACCTGCTCCAGCAATGCTGTTTGTCTTTCCAGAGCCACACAAATATTTTCATTAATTTGCTCTGCAGTTTTCATGCGCTTAACATTTTCTTTGTTTTCTGAAAATATCCTCTTCTTTTGATAATAGCCTAAGAGAGATGGAAAGATTAGAGATAAGGGGAATTTCTCTCATTTAGAGACTCTCTAAGCAAACTAAGAAGTGACAAGGGCAGCATTTTTTAGAATATGCAATGGCATATAAACATTCCCCAAAACTATTCCTTTAAAGAAAAAATGAGTATTTTAGGGAGGATTTTAGTCTCAGATATACTCCTCCTTTAACCTTATTTAATACACACACCCCCATAAAAACTTAACAAAATTACAGAATTTAATCCCTTGTTACAGTTATATAGGTAGTTCTACATTACTTTTATAAACAGTTACTTAAGCAGTCTTACATAATTTTAATAGATGATCCTATTATTTTAAACAATTTTTAATTCATCTTGTTAAATGACTGCTCCATACCCTACATAATACAAAATTTACCCTATGAAATCAATTTTTTCTTCTATTTAATTAACTAAAATACACTACTTCTAATGAAATTTAATTTTGCTATTTTAACAATGTTATGACCCCAAACTTCATTCTGTTTGTTTCTATTCCTCTCCCTACACACACATATGTACATGTATCCATATTATTATTTACCATCTTATACTCAGCAGATGATTGGCCAGGTATGGTGGTTCACACCTGTAATCTCAACACTTTAAGAGGCTAAGGTGTTGAGAATCACTGAGCCAAGGTGTTGGATGCTACAGTGATCTGTAACCATGCCATTACATTCCAGCTTGGGGGACACAGCAAGATCTCATCTCTTAAAATCACATACGCACACTCCCATTGTCTTTCAACTAGTCTTTTTTTTTTTTTGAGACAGAGCCTCAAGCTATCGCCCTGGGTAGAATGCCACAGCATCACAGCTCATAGCAACCTCCAACTCCTGGGCTCAAGCGATTCTCCTGCCTCTGCCTCCCAAGTAGCTGGGACTACAGGGGCCTGCCACAACGCCTGGCTATTTTTGGTTGCAGCCGTCATTGTTTGGTGTCAGGTTTATGTGATGTGGCTGGTGCCATAGCCTCTTGAGCCACAGGCACCGATCCTTTTTTTTTTTTTTTTTTAAGAGACAGAGTCTTAGCTGGTGCCCGTGGCTCAAGTGGCTAAGGCACCAGCCACATACACCTAAGGTGGCGGGTTCGAATCCAGCCCGAGCCCACCAAAATAACAATGATGGCTGCAACCAAAAAATAGCCAGGCACTGTGGCGGGCGTCTGTGGTCCCAGCTACTTGGGAGGCTGAGGCAGGAGACTCACTTGAGCCCAGGAGTTGGAGGTTGCGGTGAGCTGTGATGCCACAGCACTCAACCCAGGGGGATAGCTTGAGGCTCTGTCTTAAAAAAAAAAAAAAAAAAAAAAGAGAGACAGAGTCTCACTCTGTCGCCCTCAGTAGTGTCATGGTGTCATAGCTCACAGCAAACTCCAGCTTTTGGGCTTAGGTAATTCTTTCGCCTCAGTCTCTCGAGTAGCTGGGATTACAGGCGCCACCCTTTTTTTGAGAGACAGTCTCACTCTGTTGCCCTGGGTAGAGTACTATGGCATCGTCATAGCTCACAGCAACTTCAAACTCCTGGGCTCAAGCGATCCTTTTGCCTCAGTTTCCCAACTAACTGGGACTACAGGCGCCTGGCACAACACCTGATTTAGTGTTTCTACTTTTAGTAGAGATAGGGTCTCACTCTTGTTCAGGCTGGTCTCGAACTCCCTCGGCCTCTCAGAGTGCTAGGATTACAAGCGTCTCCATGTTAACCTAATATATAAACTTAAGATAACTTAAGATGTAGGTGAAATGGATCAAACAATTGCTACGTGTATAAGCCACCTTTTGATCTCTTTGTGCTTTTAATAGAAAGTGATTGATTCCTTCTTTACCAGAATTAACTTACCTTTTGATTTGGTGGACACCTTTCCCCCTCCTCACCACAATGGTTCAGAAATGTTGTCATCATTTACCTTTTTCCTGCCTATTTGTATATCTGAAGCTTTAAAATCCCCCCAGAGAAAATGACTATTTTAATTTCTCCAAAAGATGCCTAACACTTACTGTGATTACTATCAGCATCAAGTGATAACTGCCACATCGCCTCTTTACTTTCACAATTTGAAATGCTGGAATGACAGATCCGACTAGATATCTCAGTTTTTAAAACCTCAGCAGCACAGATGGAGTTGACTGAATTCACCAAGAGAGGTATTTTCTCAACAGGCACAAAATTTGAGTCTGAACTTAAAATATTGTCATTTTGCCTTTTATCATGCGACTTTGGGTTGAAATTTGTTTCTAAGTGGGAAGCCATCTTGTCCATTCTCTTATCATCCAAAGTATTGGTTACTGTAGACTTTGGAATTTGAATTACATCACTTAATACACTGGGTTGAGAGCAAATAGATTTTAGAGCCTCTTCTAGTTCAAAAAAGGATCTTGTTACAGCTGCCTGATATTCAAAATGGTTTTCAGACTGGTTTTCAAAAGTGTTTCCTGAAAATTTTGCCTCTTGTATAAAGAGTTTGTTGGGAGAATCTGTTGCTTTACTTGGCTTTTGATGTGGACATGCATCTTGTTCATAAACATATTCCATTCCTGTTTCTGAGTTAACAATTTCTTCTAATGGTTTAATTAAATTCTGAGGGAATACTTCACTGCTCTGTAAGAATACCGAATTTCTGTTAGAGTCCAGTGAGGAAGCAACGTCTTCAGAACGTATACATTTGCTAGTTATGACACCAGTACTTAAATTCTGATTACTACTTAGAACATTATTCCCAGGAACATTACTCCCAATTGCTGTTATTTTCAGTGCTTCAATGTTCTTCGACTTATTCAGAATCTCTATTTGCTTCCGGCAACTTGTAGGCATTGTTTTCTTGGCTTTTAATATCTTCCGTTTACTTTTATCTGGACTTGCCATCTCTCATATCCTGGAATTAAAGATATCATATTTAAATCCAATTCCCTAGTGAATTAAAGTTACTTATATACACTATTAAAATAATGTTGACACTACATCTCCAGATGTAAGTACTAACTTTATTGGAAATTATATCCATTTCATGTCACTGAAAACGTACAAATAATTCCAATTTTTTCTATAAATTTAAATTACATGAGTTCAAATTTTATATTGCTAGTAAGCCCCTGCTTCACATTAAGCCTGATGATTTATCTGACCACCTTTTATTTATCACCTCAGTGCTATAATCACTTTTTTTTTTTTTGAGACAAAGTCTTACTATGTCGCCCTCAGTAGAGTTCTGTGGTGTCACAGCTCATAGCAACCCCCAACTCTGAGCTTAAGTGATACTCTTGCCTCAAGCCTCCCAGGTAGCTGGGACTACAGGCGCCTACCACAACACCTGGTTATTTTTTTGTTGTAGTTGTCATTGTTGTTTAGCTGACCCCGGCCAGGTTCAAACCCGCCACCCTTGGTGTATGTGGCCGGTGTCCTAACCACTGAATATGGGTGCCAAACCTAATCATTCACTTTTGATTTAATCATCCAAACAGGCCATAGTTTGAATAATCTAAAGATTACATTACACTTCTTCATAAAAACAAACAATAAACAAAGCTTTGAATAAAACATTCCATTTGCTATACATAATGGTAGTACCTTTTTAAACTTTCCTAATGTTCAAGTTTCAGTAATAAATGATACTACAGGAGTAATTCCTAATAGTCAAAAATATAAAACAAGCACTAAGATACATGACATGAGCAGGGTGCAGTGGCTAACACCTGTAATCCTAGTATCCTGAGAGACTGACGAGGGTAGATTGCTTGAGCTCTTAAGTTCGAGACCACCCTGAGCAAAAGCAACACTCAATCTCTACTAAAAAGTAGAAAAACTGAGGCAAGAGGATCGCTTGAGCCTGAGTTGGAAGTTGCTGTGAGCTATGACGCAACAGCACTCTACCAAGGGACAGAGCTTGAGACTCTGTCTCTAAAAAAAAAAAAGGCTCAGCGCCCATAGTAC